ATATACACATATAATGTATATATATATATATATACATTATATATATATATATATAAGCTACGTGTCTTTTACAAAAATAAACAATGTGCGCTCTCGTACGCGACTCGTAAATAAGCGTACGACAATTGATTGACAAGTGTCGAATAAAGTGTTTTTTTTTTTCCATCATCGATTATCGATGACAAGTCGACGACGTATTTCTCTGTGCATTAACTTATTTATCTTTTGCTCTTAAATTTTATAAGCGATTAAAACTGAATTGTTTTTTTTTTCTTGTTTTCAAATTATACAACACGTTACTTAATAACCTAATTATATTGCTCGGGTAATACGTAAGAAATGTCGTCCCACGGGTGACGATAAAGACCTTGCTTTAACCTTCTTTGGTCCATGTAATGACCTGAAAAACAAGATACGATAGCTTAGAAGTAGATTACGCTCACACGCGTTATCTTCGCGTTATATAAAACATTAACATTCTTACCGATAAATCCTATACTTCGACCGAGGACAAACAGACTATTTATGGCACCTATTTCGATGTACTCCTCCGCTTCTTCCCTCGTGAAACTGCCGCTGTTTCGCAACATATCGACGAAGGCGCAGGCAATTATGCCATCTACATTAAGAATTAAATTAGGCTTCTTGCTGGTCGTTATTTTTTCAACTTCCAAAGCGTATTCGACTAAAGGCTTCGCCGGGAAGTTCTCCAACACGAATTCTTTGATGAGCTTTACGCGCATGTCCGGATTGTTGATCGACTTGATGCGATGACCAATACCCATGATCAGCTGGCCCTTCTTGCGCGTGTTGTTTACAAATTCTTGCGGATGCAAACCAGCGTCGTAGGCCTCGGAAAACATACGAGCCGCGCCGTCCAAGGCACCACCGAAACGATCACCCTATAAACATCGTGAAGTGATATCTTTCAAATTCAAATCGAAAAAAAAAAAAAACATGTGTGTCCTAAAATTGTTTAAGTTCTTATTCGTCGCTTTACTCACAATTGTCAGAAGTCCCGAAACGAGAGAGCTGACTAAATCTTTTCCAGCCCGCGCGCAAACTATGGTATTGTGAGCACCGGAAACAGCCGGACCGTGGTCGGCCGTGAGCATCAGCGACATTTCCAGAAACTTGCAGTACGTTGAGGGCAGGCAACGTTGGAACCACAGAAGCGAAACGACACCGCCAATGCCCACGTTTTGCTTGAGAACTTCGGTAACTGGCATACCAGCGTATAGCAGTTCTTGCCCGCGTTCATCGCAAATCGATGTCATGAATGATGCAGGTTTACGTATCAAACCAAGTTCCTGTTTACGTCACGGAAAATGATAATGAATGAATTTGTACATGTAAAAGATAGAATAATAGATAAGAAAGATGGCTTTACCCTGGCCCAATTGTAGTCCATCGGTACTGTTGGCGGTGGAACTTCGGCCGCCGGAATGATCGTACCATCTTTCACCAGCTGCTCATAAACGGACTGGATGAGGTCACCGAGAGTGTCGAAGCTGTCCGGGACATATGCGCCGGCGGCTTTCAATGCCGCGTTCTTCGCGGAGGCTGTTTCGAGATTGGAATGCGCGATCGAGCCGGCGTGACCAAATTGCACCTCGGAGGTGAACATACTGGCGCAGGTACCGATGCACCAGGCCACTAATGGCTTCGTGATTCGGCCTGTTTTCAGTGCTTCGCACACTTCGTACTCCTCGACACCGCCGACCTCACCCAGCAACACAATCAGTTTTGCGTCCGGATTGTTTTGATAACGTATTATGTGATCCATGAAGGTGGTTCCCGGATATCTATCGCCGCCGATCGCGACACCCTCCAGTACGCCATTGGAAGCTTTGGATATTATGTTGTTCAATTCGTTCGACATGCCACCGGAACGAGATACGTAAGCGATGCTAAAAATACACGACATTTCAACGTTATTGATTAATTCATTTTTGTGGGAACAAATTATCATATAACGAATCCAGCATTATATTACCTGCCAGGTCTGTACAATTTACTGTGCAGAATGTTATCCATCATTCCACCGGTATTTCCAATTTTAAAGCAGCCTGGTTTTACGCCGCCCACAGTCGCAGGTCCGATTATGGTCACATTTTTCTCGTGCGCCGCTAGAATCAACTTTCTGGTCATATTTTCGGGTATGCCTTCCGCGATTATCGCAATTGTTCTGATTTGCGGGAACTGCAACGTTTCCATGGTGCTTTCGTAAGCTGATCTCAAAGAGGCAAACGTGACCATCACGTCCGCGTCCGTATGCTTGGTCATAGCATCTTTCATTTGTTTGTAAACGGGAATGAGAACCTGTTGAGAGAACAGAAACATTATGCATCAGATAATTATGACTTTTTTGTATTCTTTAGTTCTCTCTCTCTCTCTCTTTTTCTTCAAAACTCACCTCCTTATGACCCCAATAAAACTTCTGCTTGTGATCACCAGTAAAAGGATAAACAATTGCGGCGACAGACGGCTCGGATCTTCGACAGACAAAATCAAAATCCAACATACTCTGCACCGCCCTCGTCTGCATGCCCCAAATGATGGCTCGCGTTTTATTGCTAAATAGTTGCTTCTTTCCCGAATCCGCCACATCATTTAGACTTTTCGCTTTAGGCTGCGCCAGCGGCGAACCTACATTATTCTCGGACGGTGTGGATACCGGTCCGACGTCCTGTCCGGAAGGTAAGAGGAAGTTTGCGGTCGAGAATTCTTGAGCCTCTGGATCGGGAATCGGCTTCTTTCCTAACGCCATAGCGCATATGGCCGTCATGTGTGTTTCCGGACCGAATACGTATATGGGAATCGCTAGACGTCTACCAACTTCTCGTATTATTCTATATTTAAAAAATAAGTTTCAATTATATGTATATTTTTTTTTCTGGATAACAGAGTGACTTCAAGATCTTCTTTTTTACTTGCCTCAAACCCTCTTGGTAATTAGGCCCAGCTCTTCGCACAAAAATTCGTATATCGTGCTCCACCAGCTTGGGCTGGTACTCCTGGAGGGCTTTAACGATGCCCTTGAACGTTGCGGCTACATTCGTAAAATTGGCAATTCCTCCTCCTATAATAAGTACTTTTCCCTCGGCGCGCTTCTTCTTCGTCATTAGGCTCAGTATAGTTTTTGCATATTCATAGGTTTGCTGTTCGCTGGGAGCGCCGGAGTATTCGCCGTAATTGGCCAGTTCGTCGGCCGCGCCCAAATCACAAATCGTATCGGAATATATTACCGACGCTCCTAAAAAAAAAAAAACAAACAACATCGATTCGAAATCTTTCGTAAAATGTACCGCGCTCTCACAAAATTGAGAACAAAATTCGCATTTACTGACCACCACCGGCCACCATTGTCCATATGCGGCCTTCCGGATTCAGAATCGTCAGTTTCAAACTGGCGCCAGACTTGGCGTCCAAATCGGCGATGTAGGCCTCTTCCGGATAGGCGTCTCTTCCGAACGGCGGCGGGTACTCGATTTCTCCCCAAATCGGTTTGCATATGAAGTCGGCGGTTGTGTCCAGCTTGGCCGCGAGGTCGAGCACGTAAATCGACGTGTCCGTGACCACCAGTGGATTGATTTCCAAATATGTGAAGTACAGATTAACGTACATCTTGTAAAGAGATTCTATGAATTGAGCGATCATTCTGGAAATAGAGAGAAACAGGTACAACAACACACAAAATAAAAAACATTTTTCACGTCGTCGCGTCCACCGGTCAACTAATCATTATTTACACTTTTTTGTCGTCCACGACATTCGTCAGGAGAGTCTTGATTAGCGTGGACTGATCCGGCAACTGGCCGCCGACGGGTACATCTAATTTTAAAGCCTTAGCATCGACGTCTCCGATATCGACTCCCCCCTGATGATGGAACAATATCGTGTCGGCGTTCCGATGGGAATAGATGCACACGTAAGCTTCTTCTTCCTTTAAAATAAAAAAACGAAAAAAAAAAGTGAATATAAAATATATAATGAGCTTATATCTTGTGCTGCGTCTTATTTATGAGATAAAAAAAAAAAAAAAAAAGACATCTCAAGGAGAAAAACAAAACGAAAGAATTATAATTCTCACCGGTTTGTGCGGTACGAATGGTTCGATGATGAACGTTTTTAATTTTCCAGTTGCTTTGCCGACGCGTTGATCCTTGTTCATGCGTTGCTCGACCCATTTTTGCACCGTGGACAAATCCGCGTTCACCTTAATCAATCCGAGTTTTCCGCGACGTTTGATCAGCTGATCCGGTTTGACGACCAATTTTTCTGTTTTGAGCCACGGATGTTCAGTCGCGATATCGGTCCAATTCGTGTCTTCCGTAACGGGCACGAATCTGCATTTCGCCGCTTTTGTGCCGGCCGGTAGATTGCGATTGATAAGATTTTTTCCGGTTTCCTCCCGAATAGCCTTTGCTGACATTTTATTTTAAATTTCTGCGAAAAACACAAAGAAGATTGAACAAAACATACATCAGACTTGGCTCGTCGAAAAGAAATCGATTATTATCGCGCGGTCTTGCTTTTCATTACGCAAATGAAACCCTTTATTTAAACTTTAGATTATCAACGCAATAGATATCTTTAATTAACATTCTCGTAATTAATTAACATTCTCATGTCTCGTAAAACGCGCTTTCATATTTTAGCGCAACTATATTTCGTGACAAAATAATGATTTCCGAAGATTAAATTATCGCATCTTCTTCGCTTTCTTGCGTAATTAACTGCAACCACGTGATTATTGTTGGAACACTAATCGCTCTTCTTCTTTCGCATGGGAGAGATATACACTCGGATCATATCAATATCGTTTTTGTTTTTTTGTTTTTTTACTTAACGCGATTAGCATATAATGTATAACGCGTGATCCATTTATCGGTGTGGAATAAATAGCTTTTTACTCTGCATATCGGTAAAGACGGCTAACAATAAGTCAATTAAGAACTAACTTGTAGGCATAATCAGAGAGATACCGCGCGATAATTTATATAAATTTATTAATCTCGTAACATTGAATTTTTGATAGAGAACTTAACTGAAACAACAAAAACTAACTCACCTATGTGCGACAATAGTGTGTTGCTTGTCGAATTTTTTTTTTTTTTTTTTTTTTTGTTATCTTAAGAATTTCGAACGAGTGTGAATATTGACGTTCCGACAACCTCCGAAATGAGGCGGAAAACTCGCGCTGCTCACGCTGTCGCTCGCCGCGGCTAACTGAGCCTTCAATGTGGCACCACGGCGATATATATCTATCCGTATACCCGCCATGTCTCGCGATATCGCGAGATAGGATCGTACGATTTTACGAAGACTTTTTTTTCGGGGAACGAAGTCTCCGTTCTCTCGTCTTCTCTAATCTATCTCACGTACAACGTGCGTGCACGTTCTCTGACGATGGATGCGGTTGGTCTCGCGACGCGACAAGGGCGAAGCGGTGAACAAAAATCTCGCTGTAACCGTCTTCGTTCTGATCCGTCGTGGAGTAAGAATCCATCTCGCTGTCGTCAGCGTGAAAAAAAAAAAAAAAACTACTCCTACTACTGACAATAAAAAAAAAACCGCGAACGATGTGAATCCCAATTCCAAAATCTACGTTTAATGAACATCCTCGACGCAAAGTTACGTTGTTATGTTATTATAAATTACGTGATACGTCTCTTTCTCTCTCTTTTTATATTTTAAAAAACAAAATGCACGTGTAATTTTTATTTTTTGTGTCAATATAATTTTAAATGTCATTAAAAATTTTTACATATTAAAGAACCAACATGTAAAACGTTAACGCTCATCGTCGGTCTTGTGTCAACGAGTTGAATTTAAAATTCTGAAAGCTTCCTCATATAGTTAGGGGACGCGGAATCTCGCGTTAGAGAGATTTCTCGAAGATCAATCCTCGAGAGAAATTACTTCGCAATCAACTCGTACACGTTAGTCTACATACATAGTACTATTATCTTATTTAAACGAATTCAGTATAGATCGTGATTATATTCTCCTATACTAGTTGTGCGTAAACAAAATAATGATATTCGCATACGATTATCAGATAACTGTTTTTCATACATTTTTTTTTTTTCCAAGCACGCGGACACGAGCTTACGTAAGATTTTATATTGTAAACTACACGGAAAGGCCAAGTTTTACGTAGCGAGGTAAGAAATAAAATGTCTGATCAGCATAATGTGTGCGATCAGAAATAAAATATCAATCGTTACTAACGGCTTTGTCCGTCAGATAGAGATTTTTTTGCATCTGTTTTTTTTTCTTTTTATCGTTTTCTCGCGTAAAAAATGTTAAAACTTCGTTTCACCCCGGTTGGCGATCCGAATAACTACTCGCTTTCTTTCACACACATGTATATTCATATTAGGCGAAGTGAAAGTTTTTCCGCTCGCGAGAGTGTGCGTTTCGAATTCTCTGCGTCTAATTTCTTCCTGAAAAGACAAGACGACGTAAGTAACGAACGGGACAATCAATAAATTTATTTAAAACGCGATTTGAGAAACAAAAAACAAAAAAACAAAAAAAAACAAAACAAAAAAACTTGTCAGTTACGATCGACAAAAAGTTCTATTTTGATCTATTTGTGATTTTTCACGCTACATTCAAACACTCCTCCGAGTATAAGTTTCGTTAGTCGAACATGTGCTCCTCGTTCTTTGAGAAAATTACAATACAACTTCATTGATACTATTCGAATCTGACTACCAAATCGAGCAAGACTGACATTCAAATACTTTGAGAGTGACGTTGTTCTGTTTTTTTTTTCTTTCTTTTTTTTTTTTTTTAAATATCCTTTCAATCCAAAATGTACACGCTGATCTCAATATGTTTTCGCATGCAAATTCTCTTTAAATGTCACTATCAGCTTCTTTTCAGTCGTTTTAAAAGAAAACGACTGAAAGAAGAGAGATCGTTGCTAAAGATAGAAGGAACGTTCATTGTTAGTGTCACGCCTCGGTTTTGCAAGCAAGTTTTTGATCGATTGAATTACAACTCGCTGCAACACAATAGCGCATTTATTTTGTTGCTTTTTTTTTTACCGATTCTTTTTTCTTTTTCGTTAAAAAAAAATTTGTTCTCTCGATGATTTGTTTTCTCGCGAAAACGCACGTCGTCGCGAAAAGTTTTCAGACGAATCTTCGCCAGATGTTTATTGCGATTCAATATTGCTATACCGGTATTGATCATATTTTTGTATTATTGCTAATTGTTGTCTCCCTCACTTGAGACTCTCTTGAGATTCTTGTTTTCCTGCTGTTACGCGAGAACATTGAAGGTAAAGCGATTTGCCTCAACGAGCAGAAATTGCAGAAAATTTCTTGTTACACTTGAAGAAAAAAAAACTCCATTGAAAAATACAATTGCGAGATAAGAAATTGTTCTTATCAAGTTATTCAACAATTAAAAAAAAAAAAAAATCTGACAAGTGAAATATATGCGGAAACAATTATAAATGTTTTTCTGCTCGTGTTGTTATACGTGTACACCGATATGCAGAAATAATTCTCCTTGCAGATGTGATTTGAACGACGAGCGCGGGCGACAATTTTCGGACGTTCGATTCTCTTCCCGTCCAGCGTTCCCTCGAGCGCGATACGTGCAAATATACGTTCTCTATCGTGTTACATATACACACGTACACACACGATTGTGCGAGAGACACCATGCTCGGGTGATAATAGAAAAAGCGTATCGCCACACATCAGGTGATCGTGCGGGCGGTGCGGATTCTTGCGAAGCGTTCCAAGTGCGCGCGCGGTGAAAGGTCCGCGCGCTACGAGAGATTCGTTACTGCGAAATGTGAAAGAGGTTAAAAGGGTTAGAGGCCCGGGAAATGGAAGTGCGCTCGGCGACGCGATCGATTGCAACAAAGCGTGCCGGTTGTCGATTGTTCGTCGCGATTGTCACTTTACTTACTGGATTTAAAACACAGACAACACACTGCCTACGTGACCGTGTTGTGTGTCACGTTGTGATGCCGTTTGTTTGACAGAGAAAGTAAGACCGTGAAAATCAGGAGCGACGCGAACACACGTCCACCCGCTCGCACTGTTGCAAGAAGAATACTGGAAATTCCGGCGCCGACCGCGCCGCGAGTGTTGCCACTACAAAACGCTGAAAACGCTGAAAAACCTTCGGCAGAGATTTTTTGTTTTCCGCGATGCGATCAGATACCGGATTTACTGACAAATTACTCGCCTCGAGTCGCGTCGATTTCGACAGCCGAGAGAGACGATCGCCGCGCAGAGCCGAGGCCAAAATTCAAGATAAAAGAGAGAGAACGACGAGAGACGTGATCTCACTCGAGGCTCTCGATTTCCGGGAAATATATCGAATTTCGTGGCTCTTACGTTGGCTACACTTGATCGCCATTACGCAGCCTCTCTCACTCGCCGCTGCGTGACGTCATGAGAAACGTCATATCGAACGATCTTTGTTATCACATACCGCCAAACTTTCTGGTCAGAAATGTCCGTATCGATGTTTGAAGTCTATTTTAGGTCAAAACCGCGGAACTACCGCGGTTCTTTCTCTTTCACCGGTCCAGCTTCATCACTCTGAACACAACGGTGGAAAAAATAAAAAAGACCGACATGCATAATAAATATATTAATTAATAAAAACAATAGTTATATATGTATATAATATACAATACAGTATATTATACAAATTATTAAAATAGCATACAGAAAAATGCACATACGATGCGTTAAATTATTCTTTTTTTTTTAAAACGTAAAATATTTTTCGCATAAATATTTCTCCTGGAACCGCACGTTTCATTCAAATGTTTTTCATATATATAAACATATATATGTGAGAGAGAGAGAGAGAGAGAGAAAGAAAGAAAGAAAGAAAGAAAGAGACAGAGATTATGGCCTAGTTTACACCGTACATCTTTTTGGTACGCGAATCAAATAAAATTTGTTTTCCAATATATAATTTTGGTGTTTACATCATTATAAATGTGTTTGATACGCGTATCATTTTGATACGACGCGCGTGAAGAAGATCGTGTATCGTACCAGTTTAATATGACAACGTTTACACTATTGAGACCAGGCCGATCTATAATACGAATATATCACTTAATAACCCGTATTAAGCGATCGGTTAAAACTAGGCCGCTTATATATACGCGTACTAGTTTTCTCATATGAATATTTGTTTATGTAGTAAAATATCATATTTTTTTTAGTTAAACATGTGTTTTTGCTTATCTCTTTCATTTCACGCGACAAATATATATTCATAGTTCCACGTGCCTGAGGAATGTACTTTGATCTTTAGAATGTGTTTTCAGCGTCTCCGCGAATAAACGAACACACAATATTTCAATATTTTAATTTCCGGATTTTCTTGACCAATCCTCTTTTCGACTTGGTTCGTTCAAACAAAAATTCATCGAGTCATCAACAATCTCTTCCTCTGTGCGCACGATGTATAAACGATCCTATCGCCGTATTGCTTTTTAAAAATTACGTGTGTACAAATCAACATTCATTTATTTCTCTCGTATATTCATTTTGTTAAAACCCAACTTTTAGCCATCTTTTTGCTTAGTAATACACAGCGAGTTAAACATGCAAAGGAAAACAGTGCACCTTTGGATTTGACATTTAAATTTGTTTTCTTTTTAAAATCGTCATAATTTAATCATACGTCATTATTTTTTTTTCACTGTTTATTCACGTGACTCCTTGTCTTATGCAATATGCGTCAGTTATCAAAATATCATCGTATAATATATTAACGCGGTAATATATTAATATATTACACTCTGCCTTCCACTTTGGCAATGGCATCGTGAATGCTCTCTATTACACTGTATATGTAAGGACGTTCCATTGGATTGACTTTAAGTATTGACAGAATTAAATTCTGCATATCCTGAAAGAAAGAATAAGAGCTTCTTAAACCGTACGCACTTATTGTGTACATATATATATATATATATATATATATATATATATACATTCGCGCGCGCGCGCGCGCACACATTATTATATTTACACGTCAAAGCTACAGATTTATGTCAATACCTCGCTGTACGGTGCATTTTCTGGAAACGTTATATGTGCACTCATCACGGCAAGTGCCACGCTGTCACCACGTTCGTGAACAATATCAAAAGGAGATTTAAAGTAACACAATGCGTACAATATGCATCCCAACGACTGCGAAAGAAGAAGCGGAGATGCAATTACACTCGGAATTATACACATGGAGCGAAAGATGTACAGATAAGTGCACCGTATCATGCGGTTCCAGGGGAAGTATTTATCGGAAATTTCTCTTACGGCTGTTTTCTCACTACCGCGCGCCGTTTCTCCCTCGATCTCGGATCGCTGGCGAAGACCGAAGAAGAACGGCGCGCGGTAATGAGGAACAGCCGGAAATGTTCGAGAAATGTACTTCCCCTGGAACAGCGCGATACACACGGTGCACTCCTCTGTACTAGAGAAAAAATGGAGATGGCACAGCGTCTCACCCAGATGTCTGTTCGTTCATCGACCATGCAATAACTTTCAACATTGAATAATTCCGGTGCTCTGTAAACCATGGAGCATCTTTCAGCAGCCAAATCCTGCAAATTCCGTGCCGCTTGAGTGCCGCACACTTGAACTCTGGCAGGCGCCACAGAACCTAAGCGATTGATCGATAATTTAATAATGATATGAAATACATAACACGTAAAAAAAATTTGTAATTGGACAGCGAAATGTACCCAAGTCCATGATAATAGGAGTCCTGTCATCGCTAAGTACTATATTCGCGGTTTTTAGATCCCTGTGAGCAAGAGGTTGTGGTTTAGCTTCGTGAAATGTCTTTACACCTTCGCAAATCTGTAGAAAAATATGAAGAATATCTCCAGGGCTCATGTAATCTCCTTTCTTCGCTCGTTGTTCCAGCTCGTCCGCTAAGGTTCCTCTCTGAAATCATGTCAACAATGTCAGATTGTCTAAAAAAAAAAAAAAAAAAAAAACCCCATTGCAAACACTTTGCATCTTTGATTTGTCCTTTTAACAGAGTCTTCGTACTCACGTGATAATACGGTAAGACGATCAGCACCTCACTGGTTGTATTGACAATAGGATCCGCCATGCCCTCGCAAGACGAATCTATACACTTTATGACATTCGGATGCTTTATCTGCTTGTAATATTCTACCTCCTTCAACGCCGCCTGTTGATCCTCCGGTCCGTGACAAACGAGCTTCTTAATGGCATATTTTTTGTGCGTGCTGACATCCTCGACCAAGAGTACAGTACTGAATCCTCTAAACAATTGATAAAAAAAAAACCATATAAATTTTATGTTTTCACAAAAGGTAATTTCTAAATCTTTTACCTATATACAAATCGAAATTTCGTCACACTCTGTCCATAAAGAAAAATTGTAATGTGTAAAGCGTTTGTTTCGTAAAAACAACTTGCCCTTCTCCGAGATGTTCGCGGACCCTGTACTTCCTCGAGTTCACCGTGATCGTTTCTTTGGCGCAAATGCAACCCATTCGAAAAATTATGCTCAGACCTAGGCTATTCATTTTCGTTGTTGCTTATCATCGCGATAACAACGAGTATTGTTATACTAAGGATTATCTCATTACCGTCATTTCGATCACACGTCGCGACTCACGACGATTTGTGTATTTAGGTTAGAGGTTAAAACCCCTCACGCGGCGTGTCAATCGTGTTTTAACTGTCATGTCGTAATACGTATAAAAAAAACTGCAATTAACAAAATGCAACGCGTATCAAATTTAATCGATCAATATCAGTTCATATAAAATCCTCACGGCTCTTTCTTCCCAAAATTCTCGCTAATAAATATTCTGCGCACATGTTTGTACAAATGTGACCGAGAGTACACACGTATCGACGATATCAAATTTATAAATTTATATAAATTTTTGTTTATAAAAACAATATATATATATATATAATTCAAAACAAGATTCGGATAAAATATCGAACATGGAACGAGGATGCGCAAAAACATTCAAGGTACAGAACTCACAATTGGATTCTTGTAAGGAACTAAATTTTTTTAAATAACAATTAAACTTTTGTGCTAAAGAAATGTACATCTGAATCTTTGACATGTAGGTCACTTACAAAAGTAATATGTTTAGGTTGATGTTAAAAAGTGTGTGTATAACTATATTTAGATACTGTACATGATAACGTGGGCTGTGATTGCGAGCTATTATTACGGATGGGGTGCTAACGAGCCAAGCGTCCCTATCGCGTTCGTCGACGAATCCGGTTGGAGTCCAGACGGAATTCTGGCGAAAGAAGTGAGACGGGAATGACGAGAGAAAAATCAAAGATTGAATATACACATAAAACAATTTTATTATTACATTAAATTTCCCACTTCTGTACCCGTTAAAAATCACATCCAATCCACCATCACAATGCATAATTTAATTTAATTATACAATTCGCACAATTAAAATCTATTGCATGTTTATCTCTTTACGAGAGAACAAATAGACAGACGATTTCTTTCCAGTTCTTCAACTACACACACACACACACACACTCTCTCTCTCTCTCTTTCCGTATTGTTCCTCAATAACATATACATTTTGTTCATAAATATGCAACTTGTTATAATTTAGACAGGGGTTCAAAAATCATAAATATATAAAAAACTAATTATTTAATTGCAACAATCGTACTCTTCTCTCTAATACTATATATATATATATATATTTTTTTTTTTTTTTTAACAAAATAAAAATCTCTATCATTCTCTTTTCTTTTTTTATTGTTAATAATTAGGACGTAACGTGGTTTCCATTCGACAGAGAACTCTCGTCGAGATGATTGTTCTCCTGATCGTTTTGTAGCTGCGCTTGCCACATGGCGCTGTAAACACCACCGTGCGAAATCAGTTCCTCGTGTTTGCCTCTTTCGACAATCTCGCCGTCCTTCAGAACGAGTATCTCGTCCGCGTGAATTATCGTCGACAATCTGTGCGCGATGATGATCGTAGTTCGTCCGGCGCAAACTCTGGTCAAAGCCGCCTGTATATTACGCTCCGTTTGCGTGTCTAACGCGCTCGTAGCTTCGTCCAGCAGAACGATTCTCGGCGCTTTCAGAATGGTGCGCGCGATCGCGACGCGTTGCTTCTCACCGCCGCTCAGTCTCAGTCCTCTCTCGCCAACCTGAAAGTGAGCGAGAAAAATTAAAAAAAAAAAAACAAACAAAATAATGTATAAATAAAAACAAAAACAAATGCGGAGAAACGCACAACATCTGTGCGCGTCGTTCAAACAAACAAACCTGCGTCTCGTAGCCGTTCGGAAACGTGAGAATTCTATCGTGAATGTCCGCGTACTTCGCGGCGGCTATCACATCCGCTTCCGGCGCATCGATACGGCCGTATTGGATGTTATACTTTATAGTATTGTTGAATAAAACTGTGTCTTGCGGCACGACACCTAGATTTTTTGGAAAAATCAATAATTCGAGAAATAAAATTTATGGATTGATCAACAACGACGACGAGAGCGTCAGGAAGTATGGCATACCTATAGCGTTTCTGAGTGACTCCTGGGTGACGGTCTTCACGTTTTGTCCGTCGATTAAAATCGCACCTTGTTCCACGTCGTAGAAGCGGAAGAGCAATCGCATTATGGTGCTCTTTCCGGCACCAGACGGGCCGACTAACGCGACCGTCTTTCCCGCGGATACGGTAAAACTCACGTTTTTCAGCACGGCTTTATCGGCGTTGTAATTAAACGACACGTTCATGAATTCAACTTGTCCACGCTTTACGTCAATCGGTCTGGCTCCGGGTGCGTCTATCACTTCTTGCTCTTCCCTCAGCAATTCGAACATGTTTTCCATATCGACGAAATTCTTTTGGATTGCTCTGTAACAAATAAATAAATAAAATAATTAAATCGTACATTGTAACAGATGTTTATACAATTTTTATTCATTACCTGTAATAAGTTCCGAACCAATTGAGCGGCACATAAAGTTGCGTTATGTAACTGGCGAACAAGACGTAGTCACCGATTGTCAAACCTTCGTGATTAACGACCTAAAATAAACAATAATTTTATCAAATTAATTCAAAGGCCGATACGAGCAATAAAATACAGGATGACAGCGTATAAACAAATTTTTGTTTATACGCTGTCATCCTGTATTTTATTGCTCGTATCGGCCTTTGAATTAATTTGAACTTTTCACGAGCGATTGATTGATTAATAATTTTATCTTTCACATTTATCTTTTTTATCGTGTTTTTTTAATTAAAAGATATATTATAAGTGCAGTTTATTTGCAAGCCTATTTGCGCGAATATACTGACCATATATAGACACAGTAACGAGCCGGATAATAAACCAGCGGAGACAATGATGTTTTGAAGAGTGTTCAAGATGTTCAACGTCACCATCGATTTCCATTCTTTTATCTGATAGTCCAGTATCGCTTTTCTGTAGCAATCAACTTCGTACGCTTCGGCGCCGTAATACTTTACCGTTTCAAAGTTGAGTAAACTGTCGACGCTGCGTGCTTTCTGAGCGTTGTCCGCCAAATTCATTTGTCTTTGGAACTTTGTGCGCCATTCCGTGACCATGATCGTTGCAACTGAAAGATAGAGTCAATGAGACGGAAGTGCGTGAACTGGCGCTTGTTATTAACGTTATTGCTATGCTTACTGATGTAGAGAACCATAGTTGTAAAGACAATGAGACCGAACCACTTGTTAAACACACTGATGAAGAAAATAACGGCTATGATAATGTCAACAATAGTTGGCAAAATTGAGAAGAGAATATAATTGAGCAAATTATTGATCGAGTCTGTACCGCGGTCCATGACTCTCAATACTTCGCCTGTTTTTCTACCTAGATGCCAGCTCAAGCTTAGTCCGTGTAAATGTCTAAAATAAGATGTATATTATTTAATAAATACGTTTAAAAAAAAGAAAAAAAAAAAAGTTTGGTTTCTCTTATTTTTAAGAGAAATTTTCAATTCAAATAACTTTTTAAAGTAACATAAAATAAATTTAACTCACCTGAATAGCTCTACTTCCACTTCACGAGTCGTATATTGTTGAATACGAATCCAGAGAAAAGATCTCAGATTATTCAACACACCCATACCTCCGGTACCACCGCCTTGTAGAAACTTAAATGCTACAAATATCAATACTATATCCCATCTGTAATAAAAAGTAATAACAACTTAATTAATCGAAGGATTGTGAAAGTAACAAGATTGCTAACTACCTTGTCGCTAGAAAGAAATCAGATTAGAGCTCATTACACACCTAAATTGCACAGGCTCGATCGAAACGCTATCCACGATCTTTTTATTGTAAATTGGTACGTAAACATTGATCAAACGTCCAGCCACAAGCAATATAAAACAAAATATCACCCTAAATTGAAGCAATATATCGGTTTTTGGCCAAAGAAACGGTGCTAAAGTTTTAATCTTGTACCACAGGTTTGTCCATGTGGAAGCATTATCAGTAGGTCTCTGCAAATAAATTTGTGTTAATATTTCTTTGCACAATATTGTTCATTACAAAACATACAACTGCATCTTACACTTCGATAATATTGTGATTGTCTAAATGATCCATCGATAAGCACATGATAATCAGAGTCAGGATTACCAGCAATGCCAGGAGCTTTTAATCCAAGAGCAAAGATTAATAGATTGTTAACATAGCGCAAAACAAACAGAGCCATTTCAATCTGATCTGTCAAACTGTAAAAAGATTAAAAAATCAATTTTTTACATTTTCATTTTGCTTTTATATAAAATAAATCTCATCTCTTCTTTCCTTCAATATTACTTACGAATTCAGATGGAACCACCATTCAAGCTTTCCAATGTTAATAAAAACAAGATTTTCAGCAGCAAATGCTAATGTCCAAAAAGCTAGAAGCACTAATCCATGACCATTTGGTGGTACACTTGGTAGTCTTTTATGTCTTTCAACTTTTAGGATGTAAACTGAATATGGATAAACAATTACTGTTGATGCAGTTACTAATATCTGTATAAAAATAGAAAAAAAAATTGATGAGTTGACAATCATCAAAGAAATAGAATATAAATCTATAAATGCTACAAATAGATAAAATAAATCACCAATATATCTCACCATATATCCGTAGATCATTCCATCATCCAAAACTGTGGCTTGTAAAATTATCCTTAACACACTTAAGAAGGGAACAAAGTATAACACAAACTTTTGCAAGGTATACAACTTGCTCTTTGGCAATATATTCTCATCAACTTCTGTGCCATACTTGCGATATGCCCAAAGTTGTATAGATCCGAATACAATTAAATACAAAGAAATTATACTAGTGGAAATGGTATCCATAAAACATTTAGACACGCCATGGTCTGTCCAAATGTCATTGAAAGTTATATTTGGAGGACAATATCTCATTGTGTTATATCTATGTATGTATCTTGACAAGCTCGAAGTACTTAATTATTTCGTGTTATATCACCTTGACATTCCTATCTTTTCTGCTTTCCACTTTCAACTTCTTGAAAAATTCTGTAATTCGATATACAAAATGATAAAAGAGATTAGCACTATCAAGTTTGCATCAATGTGTGATTCCGTTAGATGACATGAATGATTGTTCACGCACTCTTTAAAGAATACTACGTAATGATTTGTTTTACAGAAATATATGTTAGTAATATTAAAAATTGAAACAAATGTATGTAAAAATTTGTATCGTCATCACAAATTGACATATACATACATACAATGACCTACGGCCGGTTTCTGCGACGGCTTCCAAACCGCTCTCCGTCTCTCGCGCATGTGTGAGTGACAAACAAATGATACGAAGAACGCAGTAATACCATCATGGCAAAAAGAACTAAAGAAATAGTGAGCACTAGACGTAGCGTAGTCTCTATGACAACCAACTGACAATTTGTATGTCAACAAAACTTATGAGACGCAACTTGCAGACACTTGTGAAACTGCTTGTTGTCAATATGAATTCAATATTTCTCAAAAACTTGTAATATAAAATACATTTTAGATGTGCAATAATTCGTGTGATTTTAGTATATAATTTACATATAGCGTTTTTTTTTTTAAATAAAGTGTAAGATATACAAGTGTGTATATATATACATAAATTATATATATTTATAATATATAAAAAAGAAGATCATGACGTTATATTTTGATGTACGAGTACAAAATCCTGAGACCGCTTCGATAAGCACTCTTGCTGCATGGCACAATAATTATCCTTTGTTGGCTGTTGCTGCGTATTCTCAAGACAAAGGTGGGTTTGTGATCATCTACGATGATCAGGGCGAACCTGTGCAGGATGTCGAGTCACCAAAACACGCCGTGGCGCAGGTCACTGCACTGGGTTGGCATCCTGAGAGAACATGGCTGGCAGCAGGATGGGAGAGCGGAGAGTTGCGAGTTGGTATTGTTTTTTTTTACAAATGTTCTAAATCTAAGGATAAAAGAAATTACAATTATTATTATTGTTATTGTTAGATATGGCCAGGAGACACAGCAGCTCAGGAGTTCAATATAGTGGTGACTCCTCATCGAGAATCCATCACAATTCTTCAATGGAGTCAATATGGAGGTCGTTTAGTATCTGCAGACACTGGTGGATCAATAGTTGGTTGGAAAATAGATTCAAGAGGGCAACTTCTCATGACATTCCATCATGAACTGAAAGAATGTTTCACACAAATTGCATTTAAAACAGTTCCTCCAAAACCAGCTATTGATATTAGGTACACATTGACAATTTGCTTAAATATACAAACAGAAGCAAATTAAGGTTTTTGCTTTTTCATATTATTCCGAACAATTGTTTCTAGCGGCTTGGCGAAGGCAGCGGTGGCTGGTGATGAACGAGCGTTAGATTTGTTTAGTTCCTGGCGTCCCAGAACTGCTGCGCCAATAACAGTTGGAACTCAACGGGATAATCATGCGTTTTATATTGGTGCAACAAATGGCACTATATACTTTGTCGACGCTCAGGGACAGTGCAAGGAAGTTCTTAACACCGATGGTGCAGCATTGCACTGCCTGTTGCATCATCAAACCAGGGACTCTATCATTGTCTTGACAGAAGGATTGAATATTGGACACTTTCAAGCGGATCAAGTAACAGGAGAGCTCACCGAATTGACAAAGGTATTAATTATACTGTTTAGTAAAAGTATAATCTTGATTGATTAATGTAATTGTTAGAATAACATGTAATACAACATGTTGTATTCCAGGTAAAATTGAGCAGCAGAAGCGATACATCACGTATGACCAATATTGCTTTATGTTGGATCAGTGGAAACACTTTAGCGGTGCTAACAGGAGAACTCGCTGTGCGATGTTGGGATCTTTATACTGGCGACACTTACGTTCTTTCACCTCCGGAGTCGTCTAACGGAAATATTGCAACGCCTCAGGAAATATGCACCAGCTTGGCGTTTTGTAAAAGCAATGGTAAACAATACCGTGTTTTCAAACTTCGAACTTTTTTCTTTCTTCATCGAAAAGACTTTTTTCGTTTCTCTTTACATGTTCAAATATTTAATTGTTTGAAAATACTTTTTACATTTCTTAGATATCTTGGCCGCCGGTACCAACCTAGGGACGATCTACCTGTGGAAGCGAAAATGCACGTCTGAATGCGACGAGAACGCCTGGCCGAGCGTACCAGAGTCTTGTTCCATTCACGGCACGGTGAAGCAACTGACTTGGGGCACTGGTTTGTCGCGAAATTCCCTCCTGGCCGTCAACTGCATCACCAACGTGTTCATCTTGCATCAGCAGCCGATGTGCGCCGTGTACAACCACGGTGTATGCGCGAGTCAACTCACACCCACGCAGATTCTTCTTGAGATAGACGAGCAAACGTACACGTTGAAGACAGAGATCCAGGTGCAGATTATCGCCGTTACGAGGGAATACGTTGCCGTATCTTCCGGCAGACAAATCATCGTCAATCGTATCAACAGAAATGCTACTCTCAATACAACCGTACTGGCGACATTTAGCTGCGACACCGAGAAGATGCTGATCTACGAACATACACTGATCATCCTCACTCCTACGATCATTCAATTACGATCGATAGAAGGCTCCGTCATACAGACTCTTCCCACATTACCAGAGGAAGGCGAACCGATCACAATGGAACTGACAGGTAACAGTTTTTCAGGAAAAATAACGAGATGTGATCGTTCGTGTTTTATATTTTATATTCGCGTCTACAGGACAATATTTAACTGTGGCATCATTGAATGGGATTCTGAAGATTTGGGATCTGAGCAAACATGAGGCTAAGTTACACACCCGAGCTATGGCGACGTACGAGGCGATCAGTGACTTCGCCGAAATCATTGAGGCCAGGTGTAACTCCGATTGTCGCTGCGTTTCGATCACCGTCGCCATGGCGAATCTCATGCCAAGCTCGGTCTTATACGTCTGGGACATCGAAAGCGATCAGATCCACGAATTCGACTTCGGAGATTCGGATAGCGTGATCGATGATGACTCTACGTTGTGAGTATATAAAAAAAAATTGAAAGAACTCTGTCTGTGTTTATATCAGATCAGATGGATGAATAGAGTGCATTCTTTTCAGAGCTGCGCAATGCAAAGGAAGATTGGTTACAGCGCACTGCTGGGACGTGGAGGATCCCAGATTGTTGATATGTCGAGCTCAAAGACTGGACACACAAGATTCGAAGAACTTCAATAACGATAATCAAGTAATGCCGCGATATATAAGTCGTTAATTAATACATTCCGAGATTCAGGTGTGAATGTAATAGTATAATTTTTTTTTTTTTTTGTAGACTATACAAACGTCCGTGGTATTGGTATCGCTGTTCGCGACGTCGGACCACGGTATCGTTGTGCAAGACGTGAAACCGATCGCCGATGAAAGCTGCCGACTGTTAGGCGTGCAATCGCCGTACATCGTGATTCTAAATTCCGAGAAAAGTTTGGACAGAAACAGCAAGATCATGCGATTATTGATGCGAGACTTCGAGGAACTGGGAGACTGCGATTCCGTTACAAAAAAGGCAGTGATGGATTTCAGTTACCACATCAGCGTGGCGAACATGGACGAGGCCTTTAAAGCCATTAAGTCCATAAAGAACGAGGCCGTCTGGAAGAGTCTTGCCAAAATGTGCGTGAAAACGAAACAACTGAACATGGCTCTCCTCTGTCTGGGTCACATGAAGCAAGCTAGTGCCGCGCGTGCTCTGCGCGAAGCGATGCAAAACGACGATTTGAATTTGGAAGCTAAAACGGGAATTCTGGCCGTCGAACTCGGTCTTCATGTAAGTCAAATTAATTATGTATATTAAACACAGGTTTACATTTTAATTTTGACACGTGTTTATTCACCGTATGTATAAATCTGTAAATCGCAGGCTGATGCTGAACGTCTGTTTCGAGAAGCGAAACGTCTGGATCTGCTTGGACGGTTGCTCGAGGCGCGTAACAAGTTCAAGGAAGCGATCGAATTGGCGAGCAACGAGAACAAGATTCGCGAGAAAACGAGCTACTACAACTACGCCCGTGCGCTCGAACAACAGGGTAAAGTAGCGGAAGCCATTGACATGTACACGAAAGCTGATTGTCATCGATTCGAAGTGCCGCGAATGCTCTTGACGAGACCGCGAGAACTCATCGCGTATCTGAATAATTCTGAAGAACCGTAAGCAAGTCAACACAATGTTTAATTTATATAAACTAAAACTTCTTGATAAAAACTAGACACATTTTACCATACATAGAGAAATTAAAAACTGGCACGCCCAATACACCGAGTCGACCGGTGATATGGAAACTGCTTTACGTCTCTACGAGCAGGCGAAGGATATTTTATCGATGACGAGACTGCTTTGTTACTTCAATAGAGAGGACGAAGTGTGCGAGCTGGTGACTAAAACGAATCACGCCGCGTCCGCGTATCATCTAGCCGCGCATTACGAATCGAAAAACAACGTGACACAAGCTATCCACTTTTACACAGTCGCCAAAGCCTATACCAACGCGATTCGATTGTGCAAGGTAAGGCATCTGATGATAAAAAATACGCGCTAGTCTGATGACTTATCTCGTGATTGTTTTTTTTCTCATTACTCGTCTACAGGAACACAATATGTTGGAAGAACTCTGGCCGTTAGCTGTGTTGGCGTCGCGACACTCGCAGATAGACGTCGCGAAATTTTACGAGGACAACGACCAGCCGGAACGCGCGGTTTTGCTGTATCACAAAGCCGGTCTCTTGCACAAAGCTCTGGACGTCGCGTTCAAGACGCGACAGTATAGCGCGTTGCAACTAATTATCGTTGATGTGAACGCGGATTCCGATCCAGCGTTGATTCGCAAATGCGCCGATTATTTTATGCAAAACGAACAGATCGACAAAGCGGTGGACTTGCTCGCCACGGGCAAGGACTGCATAGCGGCTTTGAAACTGATTCAACAGCACAACGTCACGCTGACCGAGGAACTCGCGGAGAAGCTGACGATCGAGAAGGGAAGCGACAACGACGCGGAACACGAACGTTTGAGAATCTCCACGCTCGAGAAAATCGCGGAGATCGCCTTCGATCAGGGAAACTACCATCTCGCGACTAAGAAATTCACACAAGCTGGCAACAAGTTGCGCGCAATGAAAGCGTTGCTCAAATCCGGCGATACCGAGAAGATCTGTTTCTTCGCTCAGGTTTCGAGAAATCGCGAGATCTACATCATGGCAGGCAATTACTTGCAGTCCTTGGACTGGCAGAATCAACCGGAGGTGCTGAAGAACATCATCAGCTTTTACTCCAAAGGCAAAGCAATGGATTTGTTGGCAAACTTTTACGTGGCATGCGCGCAAGTGGAGATAGACGAGTTTCAGAATTACGAAAAAGCGTTGGACGCGCTCAATCAGGCGAACCGATGTCTCACTCAAGTGATAATGCCGCGGGATTTGGATGTTCACAAGCGAGCGGTCGAGCTAGTGAATAACAGGATGCTGACGATTAAACGCTACCTGGACATCAAAAGGTAAAGATACGATATTCTCTCGCAACAGTTTTTGTACCAATATTTTTTCAATTAAACTCACTCAGATCAAGCATTTTTATGTCTTTCCGTCTTGCTAAACAGATTTTTCGATAAGGGCGAGACCGAGACGGCGATGCAGCAGGTTCGTCACCTGCTGGATTCCCAGGGATCTAATCTGGAACAATCGGTACGTCGCGGCGACTTGTTCGCAACGATCACGCAGCACTACGCCAATATCGGAGACACCGAGAAAGCCTGGGCCACCATCGAAGAACTGAAACGTTTAGTACCGGGAATTAACTTGAGTTACTACTTCAACGTGGATCTTCTCGAGGCGTTAGGTTACAAGATAAAAGTGGAACGGCAAGACAGTTCCGACAAAGATGACAGAATCGAAGAGCTCTTGGGAGAATAAAGGAGTTTCGACAAATTCAGCTAACGAGTATAATACAGGTCAATATTGCGGTTGCCTTAGTGAACTTATGTGGTGTGTATATACATAAGTAGTTTTGAATTTTCACACGAAATTTGTGATGAAAGAAGCAACAGGAGCAATATAAATTGTATTATAATAAAAACCGATGATACAACTCATATTTCTATTGTATTTTTTTCTCTTAAAATATATAAACCCAGATAGCCAACTGAGTGCAAGTTGTTGGCAACTTGCCACAAATATTGCTCATATGTTTTCAGCAATGTAACAAAATGGTGTATCCTCTTTTCGGTATGTTCTTGCCAGCAACAGTTTGCAAGATATAATAACAGCAAGTTCCCAACAACTCATCGGCAATAAACTTCTATTATTTTTCTCAACTTATGAATAACAATTATTGCTCACATATTGCTGACTCGTTTGTCATAAACATTGGCTACAACAATTGATTGATAATAAAACTCAGCATATTGATACCGAATTGACAAAAACATTTTCGTTGCATTAAATAAAAACAACACAACAGCAATTGGCGAGCAACTTAATCTATACAATGATTTGCTTTATATTGAGTTTTTACATTTGGCTATCTGGGAATTATTCAAAAAACTTGATTGTATAATTCAATTTGTAACTTGTTCAAAAGATCAGAAAATGAAAACCGCGTGCAGCAGACCAATTGCCGAGTTGTCGTCACTCGACGTTGATTTGTTGACCGAGTTCAGCAAAACGAGCTTGCTTTGCGACAATCGCGATCGTTGAATGGTTCTTACTTTTCGAACCAACAAATCAACGTCAAGTGTTGACAAGACGATAACTCATCAATTGTTCCGCTGAACGCTGGCTAATGATATGCGTAATTTTTTTCTCAAATATATGAAACAAAGAAGTATTATATAGATTGGATTTTATTACAGAAACGCGAAGAATGGTTGCGAATTGTTGCATTTGCGGAGTCGAAAAAGGATCTGTGCAAGATGATAACCTAGTATTTCATAGGTAAAAAAAAAACAAATACGATCAAACAAACACAAATCTTCTTCGCGAATGTTGTTGAAATATTTAGAAAATCAGAATAAGATGATTTTGAAGCGGGTTGACGAGAAAGTAATTTTTCTTATCTGAAAATTTATAACAACCTACAAAAATATCGCGCCTTGTTGCGCACTGCAAACAGAAAGCGATAAAACTTTGTATCAAAAAAAGTTTCTGACACGTTATTATCTTCCAAACTTTATTTCCTAAACTTAAAAAAAAAAAGAACTATGTTGTCAAGGGTGTCCGCGAAGAGCAAACACAGATGGTGTGCGGACAAATGCGAATCTCTCGTAATTTTCAGATTTCCAAAAGATGAGAACTTGAGGTCACAATGGTGGGAGGTCACGGGAAAAAAGTATCCCAGTGCGTATGTATGCAGCAAGCACTTCAGACCGGAGGATTATAGAAATTACGAAGACATCAATTTAATAAGAAGAATGTTGAAAAGTTCAGCTGTTCCTCAGAAAAACAATAACTTAGACACAGTAGAATTTGTTCAGAATTCTTTCCTATTTAATTCAATAGATCCCTCGTTCGCAGAAAGCAAAGATAAAAGGTGGGAGAAGTTGTGTTTTTGTGTTTAAATAAAAAATTACGTACTAAGTGCAAACAATTATTTCAGTTTGGAATCTATTGAGCACGCTAATATCGAACCCAAAACCAGAGATAAAATGGAATCTGATGATTCTAAGGTGTTAACTGTTGGACCAAACACCTCGCCGCAAATGATTGTTATAATCGGAGATTTGAACAACGATCTTACCGATGTAACACTTAATAATATCAGCAAAGCAATCAATAATAATACAAATGTTAAAGATGCTGACAAAACAATTGATTCTGTTGAAAATAATAATACAATTGAAAAAACAGTTGAAAATAATAATAAAATAATCAATTTTCCAACAATAAAAACTAGTAAACCAGAAGATATTGTTAAAACAATAAATTCAGTAGAAATAGCCGATATCAAAAAAGATGAAAATATCGATAAAGCGATGGAATATTTGGCAAACGAAAACAAAAATGAAATAATCAATAATTCAACAGTTAAAGATGATTTCATAGATGAGAGCGATGACAAGATATTGAATATCTCAACGGATGACGACGATAACACATTCAATTCTACTGGATCAACCAAGAGGTTAATAATGTCCTTTATATTTGATGTTTTTTTTTTTGTAGTTTTACATTGCAAAATAGTATTTCATCCTTACAGAGAAACTGAATCTTATAATGAACAGAAACAGAAGAACAAAAAAGAAACAAGTAAACGGAAAAGGTTGCGGCAATTAAAGAAACTGAGATACCAAAGTGATACTTTGGGAGTCACAAGAAAAGAAGATTTTATGAACGAAAGTGCGTGGATAAGATTTCAAAATTTTATCGACGAGACGCGGACGAAATGCAGGAAGATAGTGAACGAGAATAGAAAGCTGAAGCAAAAAATAACTTTTTATCAAAACCTTTTGAAATACATGAACAAGAAGATAATAGCTGACAAAGTTAGCTATTAGGAGTTCGCATCGATATACGTAATAACACACTGATAAAGTACTTGGACAATATTTTGGCAGAAAACACGTAAAATTAGATAAAATACGAAACCAAAGACTGCGATGAGAATTTCTTTTTCCAGTCTTTGTCTTTTCTACCGATGTTAACAGCGATACGTTGAGCACATTGTAATATAAATATTACAAGAGACTCGTTTTATTATTTAAGTAGAAAGTTACGTATAAAAAATGTATTTTCTGACAAATTAAAAAAAATAACATTTAAAAGTATTCATAATGTATATCGTTTTTTTGTTAATAACAATGCTCCCGCGTACAATGTTATGTTCGTTATTCATTAATTTTAAAACGCCCTAAAAAATATACAATAGTAAATTGTAAAAAATAAAAAAATAAAAAAAATAAAAAAATTTACTGTTGTGTGCAAAATTTGTGGATTCTGCAAAAGTACTAAAGTCAAGAAATGTGCGCTTTTCAGATACAAAGATTTATAAAATAACTTCCGGGGCACGTGGATTAGGATTCAACTCTTGCGATTGGCTAACGTGTAACGCACGTGCTCTGACGCGTCTCTCGGTGTGTGAGTGTGTACGCGTGAGCCATTTGTGCCTTATGATGGCTGATCCTACGGAACAAATAGAAACAACGGTGCTGTTTTTTGCGAAAGCACGAGAATTAGCCGGTAGAAAACAAAGTAGAATCATCACACCCAAGATCTTATATGCTGCCGAACTTCTTCACTTTATCACTCGGGATTATCATCTGGAAAGTATACGTGACCAAGTGATATTGGCTGTTAACGAAGAATTTGTCGAGCTAGATAAAATCCTTGTGTTACAAGATACGGATATAATTGCAGTCATCCCACCGCTCAGCGGAGGTTTGTCGAATGACAATTGCTCTTCTAACTGAAACGATAATACTTTCTAGCTGTATATTGCTTGTAAAACACTTGTTTACTTTCACATGTTACTTTCTAGGATAACATGGAGGAGCCGAAGAATTTTGTCAAACTGCAGTGGGAGGAATTAAATGTCGCAGAAATTACGGAGCTGATAACGTTTTCCAATTGCGGTGCGATATCCCAGTTTGTTGGTATCACCAGAGACAACTTTAACGATAAAAAGGTAAAATAATACACCAATCAAACAATCTAAGCAAATAGGTAGTTGTACAATATTTTGTTTCCGTTGATTTACTAAATATCAGATATATATATAAAGAGTAATAAAAGCACGTGAAAACAAACTGAATGAAATCTTTATGCTGAAATTGAATCTTTCAGGTGGTTACACTGGAGTATGAAACCTATGAATCAATGGCCTTGAAAGAGATGCAAAACATCTGTACTAAGATTCGCTCGCAATGGGATGTAGAAGGCATTGCGATATATCATCGTCTCGGAAAAGTGCCTGTGTCCAAAGCGAGCGTTGTGATAGCGATTTCATCACCACACAGAGAAGAATCATTGAAAGCGGTGGAATACGCCATCAATACGTTAAAGGCAACGGTGCCTATTTGGAAAAAAGAAGTGTACGAAACGGGAGAACCAGAGTGGAAAGAAAACAAAGAGTGCGCATGGGCAAATAGTAAATAATTCGGTTTCATTAATTAACTTGGAGTTTAACCGTATGCTTTGTTTTTCCGTGTCGATAGTTGCAGTTTCTTATAATTGAGTTAGATCTTTCTTGATGTAGGGGTACGTTCTCGCTTTGGATTATAGCGCCAATCCGTATCTCTTTAAACGTAGAACAAAGAGACTGACGCTCAAAGCATGTGAGCGCTCAAAGCGAACGCACCTGTAGTGAACGGTTTAAAGCCTCTAAACACTTTTCTTCCTGTGAAAAATCTTTACTCTCCGCACGATAAATAATTGGCCTAGTTTACATCGTACATAATTCTTGGTGCGCGAATCAAATAAAATTTGTTTAAACTATAATAATGAATATAAGGACATGAAGAGCCGTTCGCAGGATGTTGTGCGTGAATGTGCTTAAATAAAATTTGTTTTTCAATGTATAAATTTTGGTGTTTACATTGGTAATAAATGTGCTTGATGCACGTACCATTTTGATGCGCGTGAAGAAGGCGTATCGTACCAACTTAATATGACATCGTTTACATATTATTGAGAGTTACCAAGCTGATTTAATATTAAGCGATCGATGTAAACTAGGCCATTAATAGCAGATTTTTTATCAAGTTAAAAAGAGTTTTAATATATTCTGAAAATATTTTAATATAAGTTTTCTCACTTAATGGCGTTTTTGTTAAACTTTAATAAAGAATGTAACAAAACTATATCGTTGGTTATGCCAATGTAAATTTCTCTAAGTTTTTCACAAGAAATATTTATTTTTCCAATATATGTATACATAATCGTTCAGAACGGTTCGTAACTCGTACGACATACTTTAGACGGTAGATTTGTATTGGAGCCGAAAAACTTCGCTAAATTTTTGGAAAGGAGAGACGTTTCAAGAACCGCAAGGGTAAACAAAGAAAGCGAGACCGATAACGAAATCGAGGATGTCGATCCGAATCTCGTGCAAATCCGAGCGAGCACGGAGGAGTTGAATCGTAGAATACAATCGTTCATAGAAAGGAAACGTCAGCAAGTAAATGCTGAAAATGTAATGGAGTTTTGCAACGACAGGTTGGTACAAATGTAATATGTGCGCGTTTTTTGTTGATATTGATTTGTAATTTATTATATTATATGTAACGTTTTATTACAGCGAAAAGAACAATGACAAGGAATATTCTTGTGCGAGAGTAGACGCCATTCTTGTTCGACACAAGGATTCCAAAAGTCATGTAAAAGGTATGCGATAATAATAACGCGTGACTAATGTGATCGAGGCGTAAATTAATATGTACGTTCGCGTGACTGTTTTCAGTTCACAGAGTATCGCACACGTGGGGACCGCAAACGGTTGATCACTCGATTTTATGCGAAACAAGCACAAGCAACAAAATTTCTAACACTTTCACCAGCTGTTCTTCTGTACTAGACGATAGAATTTCTACGGTGGAAAGTTCGATAGGAATTGACAAACCTGTACCCAAAGACGTTTATGAAAGATTAAAGAATATCGAGAATAGAATAATGTATTTAGAAAGCGTGTCACCGGAATACTTGGTACGATCAATTTTATCTTATCTATTTGATGTGCAGTTGTTGCATGCTTTTTTTTTGATAAGAAGTTGATTATACAAGTTTTGTTTATGATCATTCTGGATTTATATTACAGGCAATAGATAAAATAGAAGAGAATACAATAAACGCCAAGAAAATTCCGAACACCTCTCGTGCGGTGCAAAAAAGAGTAAGTGTCATTAATATACTTACATTTACTTGTAAATTTGTGTATTAAGTATTTTTTTAATTCTTTTTTTTTTTATTATCTGACATCATGTGAAATAAATCTTTATATTTCTCAACATTGGTGAATGTTATGTTTCAGACTTACTCGCTGGCGGAACTCACCTCTAAATTATGTCAATTACAAAATAAACATCCCAACAGAATTCGTACTTATAAGTGAAGCTTCCATTTAGAAACAAGAGATGTTAGTTCTTTTTTACATTGTTTGTTTTAAATTTACATTTTAACGAAGTGTTATTCTGTGATTTTATTTTTTTGCTCGATTATGTCTTTTCTGCTTAATGATATGAACCTGAATTATATATAAACTTGAAATAAATATAAAAGAGAAGATAATTGTTGTCCTTTGGTACATCAAATTATTGTTTTTATTCACATTTAACTTTATGCACATCTCTTTCAGTAAAAAGATCTCTGCATATATTTTAAATATAATTACATGTTATTATTTATGTAATTATTATCTGTAAGATAATAATAATTACATAAATTCTACCTTATCTCCTTTTACATCGACGAGTCATTCAGAATGAGAAGACTGCGCTGTGCGAGTCATCTCATCTGTTCTTGTTTTGCTAAAAAATAGCGAATCCTAATTACATAATCGCATCACTTAGCTTATTTTCTTGCTTGTATTAATCCAAGGTTTTCCAGCAAGACCTGCGCGTTTGGATCTCTTCCTCTGAATTTTCTGAAAATTTCCGCGGCCGGATAACTACCGCCCAGATACAAGAACGTGTCGCGAAATCTCGCGCCCAACTCTTTTTGCTGCGCTTCGTCGTTCGGTTTGATTTCTTGGAACGCTTTGTACAAATCGGCAGCAATCATCTCCGACCAAATCTTACTGCAATCAATGATGTAGCATCATTATTTGCCAGTTTTATGTAAATTTATATACGTAATTTATTGTATTTACCTGTAATACGCAGATGCCCAACTGCCGCTCCATATCGCCTCGAAGGAACAAACGTGAACGTCCCTTTTCTCGAGAGGCAACACAAAATATTGTGGCCACAGACGCTTCATCATAGGCACCCAAAATGTACCGCTACAAATTTTTTTTCCAATAATTAAACAATAATATAATGAAATACAAATATTACATTAATTCTGAGAAGACTAAGAATAGTCACGTAAATTATTAGAATTGAGATAAGATTGTTTTTATTATCATATGGGGTTACCATTCACCTGGAATGCAACTCCAAATCCAGATGTGACAGATAAAGCTCTTCGCATAAGTTATAACCGGCGAAATAAGATTTCATGTTTTTAATGTTTTCAATAATTTCCGCAGGTAACGGCTGTTTTGTTTCATAATGTGAAGAGATTTTTTGCAATACAGATGGCTCATACAACCTGTCGATTACAATATCATATGTAAAGAAAAAGATAGTTAAATTATTAACTATGTTATATAAAATTTAGAACGCGGAGATGAGAAATATGTAAATAGAAGTAACAATAAGTACCAATTCTCCATGAAAAAGTCGCAAATAAACACAGCGTCCCATTCTACGAACGACAATCCAGCGATGTCCGAATATTCGACTGTAGTTAACAAATGTTGCAAGGTATGTCCAAACTGTGACCATAAACAAAATCAAGGATAAAACATTTATTCGAATTTTGAACAATCTGACTTGAAAATCAAGTCTATCACCTTTTGGAAGAAAACTTGCACATCCTTGAAGGAAAGTAATGAGGGTTTGTCGCCCACCGGTGGCGGGAAATTAAAAATCAGGGCGACCAGCGGGATGCTGTTGCAAATTTTGCTTTTGTTCTTGATCATGGACACCCATCCCGAGTCTTGTTCCTTGCGGAACTTCTCCGTGCCTCTGGCGTAGGGATCTAGATAAAAGTTCGCAACGGGTACCGTATCAGATCGGTTCAAATCGAATACGTCAAAGAACCAAACATCTTTATGCCAAATATCCGCTTTCTTGCTCTCGACGATTTTAATGTTGAAGAGCGTCTCGATGTGCTCAAAGAGACCCGACAAAACGGTCGGCAGAGGAAAATACGATCGCCATTCGTCATTGTCGTAACTGAACAATTGAAATCAGATTTCTTTAATATATAACATGTAAAATATTGACATTGTAAAATATTGACATTGTAAAATATTGATATGCTAAGGATGATATATTTACTTATATAAACTGCGACGTTGTTTCCTACTCCAGTACGCTACGTCCCACACTCTTAGAATGTCATCTTCAAAACCTCTCTCTTTTGCAAATTCGGTTAAATTTGCGATTTCTTGTTTTTGAGCAGGTAAAGCTTTTGAAAAGTGGACATTGTTAGCATAAAAAAAAAACTAATAAATATATTATATCTCATCACTTAAGATACACAAATTATTGTAAGTAAAAATGATAATAAATCAAAATAATTACCGGTTTTCCGAAGAATTTCCAATGTGTTTTTTAGATTCTCTAAACTGCCAGCCATTTTAGTCTCCATGCTCATTTCCGCATAGTGTTTGTATCCCAAACGTTGCGCCTGTTCTGTCCTTCTGGCTCGAAGTTCTTCCAATATTATACTAGTCTGAACGGATTTTTCCTGATACATGGAGCAGCGAACAACGTCAGCATCCCAGACTGCCGCCCTCAATTCGCGATCGGAACAATATTCTAGAATCATTATACATAAGTCGTTGCGCATACACAAATGTTTCAAATTTAATGTTTATATTTGTAAAGACCGAAGAAGATATATATGTATATACCCATAAAAGGTTTCAAAATATATGGCCTCAAAGTGATTGTCCAAGGACCTAAAATAGGTTGTGACGGATTGGACGCAATGGATCTAAGAACATCTTCAGGAAAATCCTCCACAATCTCTCTATTTTGTATTACCAAGTTATAAGCACCTGTGGCAGCCTAAAAAAGAATAAAAATCAAAATAACAGAAACACATATTTATTTGTACAAATTTATTTAAGTTAATATAATAAACCTCATATTTCGTCTTGTACTCCTTGCAATGTGATATGATAAAATTCGTATCGTCCATATAGTTCTCGTATTGTTTATTATCTTGCAAAGCTAAACCGTTCAAAGTGCCTTCTAGTACATATTTAGCAAGCACCCTTTTCTGTTCGTGTGTCAATTCAATGTCCTTATTTTCCAAGGCTTCTTTGCACGCTTTAAAGATTGGCCTGCTATTGAATTTATTAGAAGCAGCTCTTATTGCTCGTTCATGAATGCCCATGTAACTTTTTGTCGGCATCAGACTCTGATTACCAAAATACAAAGTTTTTGCTATGCCCCAGGTGGTCTCCAGAGGAAGATATGTCTCCTCGATTTGATGCAGACAATCATTAAACACATTTAAGTCTGGTTTAGCTGTATCAAGAATTACAAAAGGTAATAAATCAAAATATAAAAAAAAAACAAAACTATACATCTTCTCTTATCACATTTTATACCAACTTTGTACAATTTGTTCCAGATTATTCATCTTTTCCTCAAACTCCACCGTCTGCCTACCAATAGCTGCTATACATTTTTCGATAGTAATTGTATTGAACTCTGGTAAATTATCATCTTTAAGTAAAGGATTCTTCTCTGAAGATTCCTCACCTATTTCTGGAAGTCTTAATATAATAAAAAATCATAAAATACTTGAATAAACAAAAAGGCATATAATCACACACGAATTGACAAACTATTTATTTTATTTACTAAAAATACCTTTAACTATGAAAAAATGTATCAATTTATTATGATATATATATAATTATACATTGTAATAATTTATATAAATATAAAAAAGAGATACAAATTATATTTACATTGTGTCATACATATCTATATTTATATGTATATATTAGATACATATATCATGTAATTATTACATTGTAATATATAAATGGGTAAATACATATCTTAAATATAACAAATGTAACAACATACGTATACATTGCATAAAAAATATATAAAAATATAAAGATCACTGAAAGATTCAAATATAAAACGCGAAATAACATCAAATAATGGATATACTAAACAATATAATGTCAAGTATATACAAGCGCTACAAAACGGATCATGTAAAAAGAAATACTTAAATAGTTGTTAACAAACGTGCGAAGTTCTTTTTTTATAACCTAATCTAACCTCTATGTGTGACGAAAAAAACTTACAAAACTATGTATCCATGTCGTTTCGGAATTTTTAGGAAATTTCTCCGCGTCGTAACAATTCTTCTCCCGCAGAATGACACCGCCATGTTAAACTATTACGCTTTGTTTTAATAATCTTGAAAATTCATCATAAAACGTATCTTACAACACCTTACGTATGTGTACAAATTTCGCCGCAACTTTACGAACAAATATATGTATATACACATACACACACGCACACACAGCAGAAAGAGATAAGCAAATGTTAGCCGGTCCGGCAAATCAAGCGATGCGATTGATCAATTCCATAAATTTTGCGACTTGCGCTAACCGATGGCGGTCATTGGACAGTTTATTTTCGCCCTCCAACGCAACGACGTGCATGATTTGTGAACTACGTAACTATGTTAGACATGCGTATCGATCACGTGTAGTGATTTAAGTGCAGTGTTATCTGTAGCAAGTATTACAGAAAGAGCATTACATTTTAGAATAAACAAACGATCGCAAATAGCAAACTAAAGACGTAAGATGACTCTGTTGCAGAATTTTTGCATGAGAAATTGAACCCCCTACTACGCGTCTTCGCGTTTAAACTAGATTCGAATCTTTTCATTAATTGTTAAAAAGTACACACTTATAATTTATTTTTGTATAAATATCACACACATAAAACTTAATTATATAAATGTAATTTATATAATTTTTATTCTTCCTTATTATATCATTCGACATTCGCTATTCGATCTCGCTGAAATTAAAATTGTTTTTTGTTAGTATATGCCTTTTCCTTTGTTTCACGTAAAAAAATAAAAGATTGTATCTATTTCATCACACCTTTCGTTGAGTCGTATCGTGACGATATTGCACGATAGTGATTATAACAAATATCACACTTAAGATCACGAAGTAGCAACCGTAGATGTGAAACTACAAAGCAAAAATTTCCACATTATATTGCAATATTTCGTATAATTAATATAACATGCAAATTTCTCACCTGCTGTCTGATGTCTAGCGTAAACGTGTTTACAACAAGAAGCGTCATCAGGCTCTGCATCAGTAATGCGAGAAATATGTTCACGCCGAATATCAAACCGTGACTGTCTTCGGATATACATTTCGCGATCTCAAAGCTACAGCAAAATGAGCGACAAAATACGACATCGTCTGTGATTTCGTATTCCTTATAATAAAATAAAATCTTTTACAGAGAAATCTCGGTTGTAGTATGAAAAATTTACCTAGCCACCGTGACCATGGTGTGGTAAATCGCACTGAATACAATATATCCCGCATACAACAACCAGATGTTGTAGCAATAAGAGGATCCCAGTATTATAGCACCTTCCAGAAGTGCGATCACTAAACACACTTTGTCTCCTATCACCGTCCAGTTCAGTTGAGCTTTTCCCGAAGAAAATACGCTTACTGAGCCTAGAAAAAGAATAATGCATTTTTATAATTTTAATAGACGCGATTCACACAAAACAACGGTACAATTACACGATACAAATGTTTTTTTGAAAGAAAACTGATACTTTTTTGTTTTGTTTTTTTTTTCTATTACCTAAGATCGCGTATAAAAAGTCCACAGCACCGTTGTAAATTTTGTCCTCCGGCTTGACCGCCGTTTGCCACAGTAATTGAGAATAAGTGGCGACCATCAGGTAACCACAGGTGGACAAAGCCCACCATATTGACCACTTGATCACGTAGTAGTTGGTGTAAGCCTGCACGAAATGTTTCCCCAACATCGCGTACGCGTTTCTGAGTTTGCGAAGTGCGCGATATCTCCCGCCATTGTTTCCGCACGATAGCATCTGTTGATATCTTACTTTTTGTAAGCAATCGGTTGTTTCCTTGTTTTGTTGAAGAGTAGGATTCTCGTTGTTCAAAGAAGCGCGATGAAAATAAATCGACTGTTTGACGGAGGGGAGAAAAAGCGCCCAAACCGTTGCGAAGGTCGTGCCTTCAAGAATATATATATATATAAATGCGCATAACTCGCCCGACACGCATTAAAATAATATATAATTAAATTATATGTTTGTGTAATATATAATTATACATACACTTATATTTTATCTATTTTTTCGGGAAAAAAGATTTCGTTATCGTCAAAATTATTATTTTAATTAATTATTATTTTAATAATTAATATTTGTGCTATATTTCTTAGCAAATTCTTACTCACTTATCGTACAAACCTGAAAGAGTCAAGAAATTGATTTGATGATAACTCAGAAGACCGAAAGAGGCTGTTAATTGCGCTGCGATACCGGACATGCTGCGACCGAGCAAAGAGGCCGCTTTGGTGAAACCTGTCACCTCTTGGTAATGTATCTTGTCCACTTTGGCATATATGTAAGTGTAATAAGCTATCTCTGAGGACATGAACAGACCGAAAAAGAACTTGGCCAACTGTAGCACTCTGACGACCTTTCCGAGTATTATCAGAACTAGACTGACGATACCAGAGAGACCGCAGAGTATGATAATCGGTTTGTATCTGACAAAGTCTGTGATCAGGAACATGAGTACCAGCGTCGACAAGTAACTGTACGTGGTCACGGGATAGATCTCATGATTCACCTAAAAATAGTTATAGTTATTTCAATATATTATTTAAGATCAAACGGAAACGACGATTTAATTGAGCCACCAACTTCGCTGGGTGTGAAGTTTTTCCACGGTCCGGTCAAATAATCCGTCATAAATGAATCGGAGGGTCGGAAATCTTTGAAACACCCGAAGATGCACAAGATACATGAGATCTTGATCCAAGACATTGTGAATCTTATATGTTTCTTCTTCAATCGATAATTTAGATATATAGTTTACATATCGATAGAAAAATTGAACAGTTCCTTCCAAATCTGCGAGAGAAAATATTATTTAAAATATTATTTAACGTATATATATCCACAAACGTTGCAAGTGAAAAATGTGTCTAGTTATCACTTCTTGCACTGCGAAACTATTATTAGCCGCTCGCAAATTTATCTTTATGTAGAATGACAAATTACACATAGATGTAATCGATATACTACATATACAATAAGTGTTACGTTACTCTATACAATCGAACAGAAACGCATGTGGCGTGAACTAGAATAAGTGTTACGTTACTCTAAACAATTGAAACAAATACACGCATGTGGTGTGATATAAAACAACAAAGAGAAGTGCATAAAGTGGCGAATAATTTAAAAAAAGAACAAATCGATTGTATCATCGGCTCACCAACAATAATTTTTTCGTTCTCTCGAATGGTGAGATAAACTGAAGGAGAGAAACGTGCTACATCAAGCTGTCATTATAAAAAAGTAAAATTATCAGATAAATGACTCATCTCGTAAAACCTATGCACAATGCTCAGATTACAGCTTATCCGCAGAGATTTATCTGATTGATTCAGTGGCGTAAATATCGGAGGTGAATGTGCACATGGATCCGAAATTATATCGGGGCCCGCAAAATCCGCAAGAAACTCATAGACATATTAGATAATATAGACTTAGCGTTCTGTGAAAGTTGTCCGTGTCTTCTAATGGACAGAATGATACGCAGCAGTGTTGAAGAAATGATGATTTCTTATAAATAATAATTTTTAAATAATAATTGATGACGCGACTCATTTAGCAAATACGTGGGGTATAAATCCTATATTTGAAAAAAAAAAGAATAAATAAAGTAAGAAAGCAACTTGACGAGTTGCTCCACAATGAAAGGCTGGCGAAATTCAGAAAGCAATTTTAGAACAACTGTTTTCTATTCAACGATAGATGTAATAATTGTTCAACTAAAACGCAGATTCGAAGGACTAATTGTAAGTAATATAGTAGAAAATTGTAAACCAATTTTTCTATTCACTTTATTAAAATTATTCTGATGAATTGATGTAAACCTATAAGATATGCTTGAATTACAATATCCTAAAAATTTATCAGATTTATTTATTATTAATATTTTTATTAATATTTAGAAACGCGTTTCAAAATCATCTTTATGACAAAAATGTATACGATTTAGCTAGAAAAGCGATTATCGACTGTAACATGTTATCCTGCTGTTATCTATAAAGTTTTTTGCACAGCTTTTATATTGTTTTTAACAATACTCGCGTCAGTTGTGAGAAGTCTTTCTTGAAGTTAAAAATAATAAAAAAAATTACTTAATAATAATTAATATTTATTAATCCTTCAGCCTGACGGCCAAGAAGGGAACTTGGTTACATTTCTTACATTTTCTTTTTTTCTACATATTTCTTATCCTATTACATATCTCATTTTTGCGTACGCATGTTATCTCTATTACCCTTCCTGCTCTGTCTAATCTCTTCTCTCCTTCTCTTTTCTAACCTACCCTTTGAAGTATATACATATAAAGTATCACAGCTTTGGTTTGATTTTAATTTACCCTATCTTATCTTACACACACGACCTCTTATATTCCTCCCTCGCGGACATATTTCATATATTACATATATTACATCATCTTATACTCTGTTTTAAAAAAAATTACTTTAAAAACTATATGTTACAACACTTGTCAAATCTTGCAATATTGTCTATTGAAAATGAAATAGCAAGAAATCGCGATTTGAGAAAAATTATTAAACAATTTGCTAGTGCCAAAGTGAGAAAAGTAAATTTTTAAGTATTAACCTTATATTGCGTGTTTATTTTTACTGCGGATATTTAGTCTTACTTTGATATTCTTATAAAAATTGATTCCTATTCGATTACTTTTACGATAGAACGTGTTTATTTTTATTGAAAATTTTATTTTACTTTTACTTAATGCTGTTTATGTTACTAATAGTCTATTATTATTGCATGAACTATAAGTTGACTATTGTATAAAAACTATACTTATAAAACAAAACAAATTTGTTTATTATTTCTATTGAGCCCGCAAATTATTTTGCCCGTTCCTTTCTAATTACGCCACTGAATTGTAAGCCAAACAGATTTTTTTCATAAATTTCTCACATGAGTCATTTTGATAAATTGATTACATCGGTTTTCCTTATAATCTCTTTTGTTATAACGCTTTAATTTTTTTTTTATAATGCTTTATAAAACAATCTTACAATATAAAATATACATTCGCGGAAATTCTAAATGGATTTTTCTATAAGAATATTTCCAAAATTGTGAATATTTTAATCAAGTAACATATTTTTTTTCAAAGCCAATAAATAATGAATAAATAATAATAATAATAATATAATAATAAATTTTCTACTTTATTAAGTAAAAATTGCTTGTATAAAACTAAAAAAAAACTATTAAAAAAGAATAAAAGGTATAAAGCGATAATAAATAATTGTTTAATATATTTAAGCTTGAAATTCAGGTTATATTTTCTAAGATTATTAATAATTTTATTTATTGTTTTACCTGTTTCAGTTTTTGCAACAAAATGTAGACAATAATTTGTGACTAAACAAAAGCAACACAGCACATTCATAAATAATGTTAATATCGTTGCTTCATTGCTCACATTGCACTTGTTGTTCTGATCTGCAATTGTGCAGTTGCACTGATTCCATGCACATATTCTTCAACGCTTATATCAGATTTGTTTGACGGCAGTAGCGTAGCATTCCAATAATCTCTCATATGCCCGATTTCTTCTTACTTTTACAATAATTATTTTCTAGATAAAAATATATTTGTTAGATAATAAACCATTCATTTTATAAGCTTCATTACAGAAATGAAGAAAATCGATTCTGGAAGATATCTTTTACATAAAGTTATCGAAAACTTATTTAGAGGTGAAGAAATTGGGCGATAGTGAGATAACCGGAGCGCACTTATATGTGCAATCTGCAAGAATAAATTATGATCATGTAACCAATTCGGCGTTAAGAAAACTGTGAAAACCATCTGAGACTGATATAAGTATTGAATTTGGTAGCCAAACCAATAAATCTACCTGGTTCTTATAGTAATCGATCATTGTTTCAAGAGAGTAACGATTTATCTCTTATTTAGTATCTTGCATACCTTACTGACAACGTGACTAAAAATCATAGAGACTTTCAACAAAATCGATTGGATGCACTAATGCGCACTGAGTGCGTCCTCTTTCAGTATGTAGTAAAATACTAACATTGAAATATTCTATTACACATTGAAAAAAGACGCACTCAGTGCGCGCACTAGTGCAACCAATCAAATTTGTCGTTTCATGTTTAGAGAATACTGAGAGCGGCTCATAAGAGAATGTGTGATCACTTTTCCGCCACGTAAACTAGCGCATATCCACGGGTGATGCACATTGAAACTACGCAGTCATGTCCACGAGCGACATGTCGGTGCGTTATGTTCACAGCGTGCGGTTCTATTCTGTGCTATGTGCAGGAGTCCAAATGGTCATCTTCTTCAGGCGTGTGAGTATATAGCGTGGACTTAATTAGACTTTTGAAATTTAAAATGACCGATCTCGTGATGAGAAGATGAGAAAGAAGAACAGAAAAGGATAAGAAAAAACATTGCAACTTTCCATACAACATAGATGTGGTGATATATAAGAAAAAATGTGATCAGTCAAGAAAAGAATATTCTTTTAGCAAGCAGCATCAGAATTCATGGAGTATAGTCAGGTATCATCTCCTTTTACATCATCATTTGCTGCTCTTTGCTTTATAAATTTTATTTCATTTTCTTAAAAACATTGCATAGAGTCGCGAAAAAAATTCTATTCTTTTTATTTACCTTTTTATTTCATTTTTATTATTCTTATAGAAATATTATTTATTTTTCATTTAACGTTTTACTTCATTTTTATTATTTTTGTATTCTATCTTTTAAATTAACGTTATTTTTTCCGCGTTTTTTCGAAACTTTCTTTTGATTTTTATCTATCTTTTTTAAAAGTAAAATTAGAGTCATTCGCGGTTTTCGCGTCATAGTAGAGCGACACTCAGGCTTAAAGTTAATACTGAAACGTATCGTGGTTTATTAACTTCAAAACGGTATTTACAACGGACTCGGATTGATCGGCACGGTGATTTCGGCGCGGATAATTTGAATGGCGCGAAATGATTCGCGCGAGTAGTACGGTCGGTGCGGAAAAGTCGAATCCCAGCGCGGTGGCTTCTAGTTAGGCTTAATTCTACTGGGAGTAATATGTACACGGAGCGTATTTACAGAGAAGATGTTCCGGGCCGTGAGAACGGCCGGTTGAGTAGTAGGAACGACTGTTCCTCGGTGTGGCGGTTACAACGGCCGATTGAATCTCCGGGCTCGTGAAGCCGACGGAGATGATGTGCGCCGGAGCGCCGGAGGCGATCGAGACAACGCCTCGATCGCGACGGTCAGGTAGTGTCTGAGACAACGCCTCTGACACCGGGTGAGTCGAGACAACGCCTCGACCGGAAGGACAAAATGTGCTCAAGACAACGCCTCGAGCGGGTGAGTCGAGACAACGCCTCGACCGGAAGGACAGGATAATTCTCAAGACAACGCCTCGAGCGGGTGAGTCGAGACAACGCCTCGACCGGAAGG